TTTTCTCCATCTCATGGACACGTCGATCGCGGGAATCCCCTGAGTGGGAAGGAACCCTCCGTCTGGTAGTCTCAAAGCCAGCTTCAGAGAAACTCCCGACCAATATTCGCCTCTTTGCTCGCTCTGCTAGAATCCGGCCGGCTGATAATCGCCCCCGCCTTCAAGTCTGCCCCCGCTGTCACGGATTTCACAACATAAACAGCTGCACACGTCGAGCCTGGTGTAGCATTTGCGCCTCGGACTCTCATAATGATCCCTGCAAGACACCTATAAAATGCTCGAATTGTGCTGGCCTATACGAGGCTTCTTCTCCTGGCTGTCCAGCCCGTCCATTTCGAGCTAACGGAGTCTTTGTTCGGCCAGACAAAGAGAGAATACGGCTGATTCGACAGGAGGGACATAAAGCATGGCTTGCCCTGCATTCCCCTCTACCTCCTAGTAACCCCCTTATTGGGAGTACACCTCCACAAGCTTCATGCACCTTCGCTCCAGCTCCTACACCAACAGTGGGCTCGGCATCTAGGTTTGCTCCTCTGGTTTCCCTTGAGGAGTCACTATGAGGGTCCGAAACAGGAACCGAAGAAAGCAAAAAACCCCAGGCCTCTGCTGGCACGCCTGAAGATGCCCTCGCCTTCGGAAGATGGGTTGAGCTGACGAAGTTCTTCGACGAAATCCAAAGAGCCCATCAGATATTTCCAAGTGTAATTTTATGATCTGGTGCGGGATTTATGTTAGATGGAAGAATTTATTGTTTTTTTCTTGTTCTGCGGGTGTAATTTAAAACAACTCGTAAAAAAAAAGTAAAGTTCCTGGTAGAGGGAAATTTGCTACATTTAAATTGGAATGCAGAGTGGCGGACAGCTTGTTGGACTATTTTGTAATTTTTAGGTGCTGTAGTGCGCGCTAGAGCGTCGGGTAGTTCTGTAAGGACTGGGCCGTCCAGTACGTGACATTAGTCACAAGCTGTTGACAGGCACGACGTTCAAATCAAATCAAATCAAATCAAATCAAATCAAATCAAATCAAATCAAATCAAATCAAATCAAATCAAATCAAATCAAATCAAATCAAATCAAATCAAATCAAATCAAATCAAATCAAATCAAATCAAATCAAATCAAATCAAATCAAATCAAATCAAATCAAATCAAATCAAATCAAATCAAATCAAATCAAATCAAATCAAATCAAATCAAATCAAATCAAATCAAATCAAATCAAATCAAATCAAATCAAATCAATCAAATCAAATCAAATCAAATCAAATCAAATCAAATCAAATCAAATCAAATCAAATCAAATCAAATCAAATCAAATCAAATCAAATCAAATCAAATCAAATCAAATCAATCAAATCAAATCAAATCAAATCAAATCAAATCAAATCAAATCAAATCAAATCAAATCAAATCAAATCAAATCAAATCAAATCAAATCAAATCAAATCAAATCAAATCAAATCAAATCAAATCAAATCAAATCAAATCAAATCAAATCAAATCAAATCAAATCAAATCAATCAAATCAAATCAAATCAAATCAAATCAAATCAAATCAAATCAAATCAAATCAAATCAAATCAAATCAAATCAAATCAAATCAAATCAAATCAAATCAAATCAAATCAAATCAAATCAAATCAAATCAAATCAAATCAAATCAAATCAAATCAAATCAAATCAAATCAAATCAAATCAAATCAAATCAAATCAAATCAAATCAAATCAAATCAAATCAAATCAATCAAATCAAATCAAATCAAATCAAATCAAATCAAATCAAATCAAATCAAATCAAATCAAATCAAATCAAATCAATCAAATCAAATCAAATCAAATCAAATCAAATCAAATCAAATCAAATCAAATCAAATCAAATCAAATCAAATCAAATCAAATCAAATCAAATCAAATCAAATCAAATCAAATCAAATCAAATCAAATCAAATCAAATCAAATCAAATCAAATCAAATCAAATCAAATCAAATCAAATCAAATCAAATCAAATCAAATCAAATCAAATCAAATCAAATCAAATCAAATCAAATCAAATCAAATCAAATCAAATCAAATCAAATCAAATCAAATCAAATCAAATCAAATCAATCAAATCAAATCAAATCAAATCAAATCAAATCAATCAAATCAAATCAAATCAAATCAAATCAAATCAAATCAAATCAAATCAAATCAAATCAAATCAAATCAAATCAAATCAAATCAAATCAAATCAAATCAAATCAAATCAAATCAAATCAAATCAATCAAATATATAACAACTAGTACTTTAAGGGAAAGAGATGGGGAATATTATTTTTTTTAGAGTCCGTTACCCTGCACCAGCGGAACTCTTTGTTCTCTTCCGCAAGTAACTAATTACTTTGACTTCTTGACTTGCAGTAATCGTTGCCATGTGGATCCTGAAATGATCTACATTGTCATGGGCTGATCAGATTTTGGATGTACGGCACATAGACAAAATGCTAATACCTTATGATCTCACACAATCAGATCGCACTGGAGCTGAGGGGTAACAAAGTATTGATGTATATATATATGTATATAGTTTATTGTCCAGATTTGGCGCCTTGAAGCCCATGCAGGTATTTGTCGGTAGGTATGTACTTTAAGTAGGATGACTCAATTTGACGATTATAAACCCTCACACTCAGATTTCAATTGCAGATACCACTCGAGGTTAACCCTTACGGCGTTTAACCTCTTCCGTGCATACCTACCACAGGGAAAAGCATGAAAACTCTGTGGCTATCCGAATGTGCTTTCATCATCCCACAAGTACAATACTACCGCGAGAGAGGGTGGTGTGTGGGTCTGACTGGAGTCGAACCACCTTTCTCCTGTCTCGTATGAGGAAGGTGTTCAAACTACCCAATATCTGATTGGTAGAACGGCCCGAATGGTGTACCACTGCACCATCCAACCCGTGTTGAAGTGTTTAGACGTAGAGATATCCTACACTTAGAGGATATAGAATTCACGTATTAGTCTCAAGCACTACACAAGATCCATTATAGTTAGGAGCAACGAGACACTACGTGATACCATTCTTACACCCACTCCACCATTTACTAAGTACACAACGCGCGCCCAGAAACCTCAGCCATATTGGCCGAAGTTATTCTCTCACTCCTCCATTGTCTGACGTAAATATGGCGCTTCCTGTTTTTAAACTGTCGGTAACACCATCCGAAACCTTGGTCTCGGAGGGCAAGACTGAACACCGGTACGCGGTGTCCTCTACGGACCTGGGAGTGAAATATTCTCTCAGAGCCAAGTTCAGTCAAATTTCGTAATTTCAAAGAAGTTGGCCCACGAGGCGATGATTCAAAATACTCCGCCATGTCATTTTTTCGCTCCCAACGAGTTCGACTCCAACCCAAGTCTCATCAAGTGTACAAATACAACCTAGTACATCCTCATCCCAATGACCACACCTCTCGTCGACCTTCTTTGGCCTCAGTTGACCGCCAAATACACGCCCACGCCGATATTTATACCCGACAGAGGAAGCAAAGCGTGGCGCACAAATCTGGGAGACAGTTCTTTGGGATGGACGTGAGAGGAATTAGGACAAGTTTACAAGATGATACGAAGGAAGGATACGTTTTCGAACGGCGTGAAATTCCGAATTTTGGCAAGGCTTCGGTTGCGAGAGTGCAGCTCACACTATAAAAACAAGCAAACGAAGGAAGGTGTTGTGATCCGCCTCCTGGTGATGTTCTCTGGTATAGTCTGAGTAGCCTGGGCACCTACTTCACTTGGGAAGGAAACATCTCAGATCATATTTCGCGTGGAGAAAAGTTGAAAGATGATGGAGGCATGTCTGGATAACTCAGGGTTTTTGAGATGTTCCCCTGGGTGGGTATTTACGGATGAGGGTTGACTTGGGGTGAAGAAAAAGCCACCATAACTTCGCAGTGGTACTTGCGAATGAAATCCGAGGCATGAGTGCTCCTCTTGTAAATTGAGTCATCTTTTCTGTACTTTTCTTTGATATTGTGTCATAGCTAGATAGCTGCATACGCAATTAAAATCTAATGCAAAAAAAAACTTTGGTCTTGGCGCGTACAAATAATCAAAATTTAAAAATCTCTCGAGAGATTTAAGTCCCAACACGCTCATAGATAATCCCTTGTCTCGCTCTTTCTACGTTCTAGCAACCTGTCCTCTCTCGAGTTTTAAAACTTCAATATAGTACCATAGCTAGTTAGGCTGCACATACTTAATGGATTTTAAAAACAGAGGCTCCAATATTGCAGAGATCCACTACGAGCCAAGACTCAAGATTTGTACACTAAGACTTCTTTTTCTCCTTGCAGGTATATGTAGCGTCATGAGATGTTTCGCTTAAGCTGAACAACAAATATCTAACAGCTCAAGGTGGAGAGAATTTCTTATTCAGGAACTTCATCATCTGCGCAACACAGTGGAAATGGCTGTGCGAGGCTTCTCTACGCCTGAGGTGTTGGGGATTTCCATGGACAGCAAGATCCAGCGGTCGTGGTACCCTGATTTGGGCTTTTATCGCAAGTACGCCATAATACATGGCAGACTTATAGAGTAGCTTGTGAAGGGTCGCTAGTTGCAAACTCTCGCTGTATTGATTGGGCTAGGCATGAAAGAATCCGCGCCTTCGGTTGGTGGGGACCACGAGCTCTAAATATTGAGGACATGGTCACTAGTTTATGCAAGTTGTCGTCATCTTCTCTGAAAGAACTAGTTACCTGGAATCTGTGCGGGACTATTATCCCGACTTGGACTAATGGATCTCGGCTACAAGCTTCTCTTGCCAAACCATGAGCATTAAGTGGACCTGAAGGCAATGTGGGACATGAATCATAATGTGTTACTAACAGCAAGTATTCTACATTTACTTTATTTGTTAGTGGAACGACAGATTATAAATTAAAACTGATGCGAACAACACTGGCTTCATTACAAACATCCCTTTAATATCAGCACTATAACTTTGTTCCATCATGATTTCCCTCGAACTCAGCACCCCCGTTACTGGCAAGTATATGCAGCCCACTGGATTGTGAGTAAATCCCCTCCAATATAGGATGAGCATTATAGTCCGGAGCGTCGGAACAAGTAGAATTATGGATGCTACAAATATTTCAATCCTAACGAGCTTGTCACTCGGGAAATTGTAATGATAGGGCAAGAATGGGATTTAGTCGGAGCCATGTAGAAACTATAAAAGTTGGGGTCCCATACTATCACTTGTCTTTTATTCCCCACTTTACCCACCTCCATTGCGGCTATAGTTACATCACTGTATCCAATTCATCTTTTATTTTTTCTTCGGACTATGGGGGAAACTACGTCTGACAAGTCGCAGGTTTATCAATAATGAGTGGGTAGAAGGTATTGATGGCAAGAAGTTTGAGACAATAAATCCCACAACTGAAGAGGTCATCTGTTCAGTTTCCGAAGCTACCGAAGCGGATGTTGATGTTGCTGTAGCTGCTGCACGAAAAGCCTTTCAGGAGGTATGGAGGCAAGAGACGCCAGAAAATCGTGGAAAGTACCTTGTCAATTTTGCCAACTTAATCGAAAAAAATTCCGAACTACTAGCCGCAGTTGAGTCTCTTGATAACGGGAAGTCTTTCAGTATGGCCAAGGGCGATCTTCAAATTGTTACTGGAACCTTGAGATACTACGGTGGCTGGGCAGATAAAATTGACGGCAAGGTAATAGACGTCAATACCGATACTTTTTCTTATACAAAACATGAACCTGTCAGTACATTCTAGAGTCAAGCGTCTCTTACCTCGCTGATAAAATAGATTGGTGTTTGTGGTCAAATTATTCCGTGGAATTTTCCTTTGATAATGTTGGCAATGAAAATTGGTCCTGCCGTCGCTACAGGTAACACCATTGTCCTCAAAACCTCAGAATTAACCCCACTATCTGCACTCATCGTTGCCAGCTATATTGAGGAGGCTGGCTTTCCCCCTGGCGTTATTAATATCATTTCTGGATTCGGGAAAACTGCTGGCGCAGCTATTTCTACACATAAAGACATTGATAAGGTTGCTTTCACAGGCTCTACCGCTGTCGGTCGAGAAATTCTTAAGGCTTCTGCATCTTCAAATCTGAAGAAAGTATCCCTCGAGCTTGGTGGAAAATCTCCAAATATTGTCTTCAACGATGCTGATATAGACAACGCTATCTCTTGGATAAACTACGGCATATTTTTTAATCATGGGCAATGCTGCTGCGCAGGCTCAAGGGTCTACGTTCAGTCTAAGATCTATAAAAATTTTGTGACTCGATTCAAAGAACGTGCTCTCGCAAATAAGATTGGCGACCCATTTGCACCAGATACCTTTCAAGGACCACAGGTCTCTCAAAATCAATATGATCGTATCATGGGTTACATTGAAGAAGGTAAAAAGGCTGGGGCTACCATTATAGTCGGTGGTGAGCGTTATGGAAACAAAGGCTACTTTATCAAACCCACCATATTCACTGATGTGACCGAAGACATGAAAATTATGAATGAAGAGATATTTGGTCCAGTCTGCGCCATAACCATGTTTGAAACCGAAGAAGAGGTAATTAAAGCTAGTAATAATAGTGTCTACGGGCTTGCGGCTGGTCTGCACACCCAGAATCTCAAGACTGCCATCCGTGTCTCTAATGCACTACGTGCAGGGACTGTCTGGGTTAATCAATACAACTTTTTACACTGGCAAGTTCCGTTTGGAGGATACAAAGAATCTGGTATGGGGAGAGAGTTTGGCGAGGCAGCTTTGTCCAATTACACTGAAACCAAATCAGTATCTATTCGTTTAGTTAATAGTCCATTTGGTTAGGCATAGAATCAGAGATTAAGAAAATGGAAACTATAACGTTTTTTAACCCAATTGATATATAAACATTGATGAAAGCTTCAAACTTTTACAACGAGTAAATATGTAGACTTATGAACTTGTGAAGATCTGTGCCCGAGTTGGCACTGGTCACTAGGAACATTCCGTCCAAGAATTTAAGCTGTAACAGAGCAGCGCTGCCGGAAATTTGAATTGTGCGCACAAAGAGGTATCAAGGGGTGTAAGTACCAGATGAGGAGTATGTTACAGGAAAGAATGTGAGCAATGGGGAAAGGATTATTCCAATATTGCCAAGGTAGTTAAGACTACTCTACGCGGAGGGTATAGTGAATATGAGATGACGTGGTAGATTGTCTTATCAAGGAATAAGTTAATAATTCATATCGAGTTATTGTCTTTCAAGTGCATCGGAATTCGTTAGACCTTTACGGAACTATAGAAAATCATGTATGTAAATATCCCGAAACCTTAGCAAAGCCTAGAGCAGTATTGCAACACATGTGAGAATTGAGCACATTGAACTTCATGCTAACTTATTCAGAAGGAGTTTACCAAGAGTGGGAAAACCACGATGCCAATGCGAGTTAGTGAGTGTTTATTGTCCTAATGAGTCTATGAGTATGTTAGGACTTTTCGGTTCTTTCTGACTACAGGCAAGGAGTTTATTTATCTTGGATTGTGTACTTCTTCCCATGCCTTCTTCACGACTTCTTTCCAGCAGTAATACGCCCACAGGTCTTCATTCGAGTACACACTAAGAGGAGCCGTTATCCCGTCATTATCTCCTCTCTTCAGCCAACAAAGCGATGGCCATTTGCGGGTGTGTAGCTGCAGAGAAAAGTCTCAAAAACTACTGGGTTCGGGGCTCTCCTATGACGAAGAGGCCGGCCAGCCGGGCGCAGCAGACCTGTGTATACTTAAGAGCGTTTCTCAACCTTCCTAACCTCCTACTTACTCCTCCCCTGATTCATGCCGCAGGACAAATCAAAGGTCGTGAAAGAATGTCAGAAAAGTCTTGGTCGAGAGTTACGGTCGTGAAGGATCCTAGCTTAGCATCCAAAAGTCGTTACGGACGTGGAGTCGTCGAGTAACTCATGTATTTCTGATGGCCTCCTGGCTAGTGGATTCGGAGGTATAGATTAGTAGGGATGATATTATAGACGAGTCGAAATCTGCTTTTCCTGAGGACGGAAGGGTCTTTTACTTTGCTTTTGTGGGCTTTTTGTTTGCCCGCCAGTGGGTAGCACATGTTGCGATGTAACAATGGCTTCAGAAATGCAGAGCGAGAATCCGGCTGACTGAGATGGATATCTACAAGCTCAACTCTAACCCCCAGCAGAGGCCATACAATGACATTTTTAAGATTTGATGGAAAATAAAAAGAGCGAGAAGCGCGAGATCCAGGAAATAAAATGTAATTACCTCTGAGTTTGATTTCAGCTTTTTAGATATCTTTTGATTGAAGTTTTGTTGTTGACTTTTACGATTTCATTGGAAGTTCCCATAGTTGGAATGACGTGGAATGACGTGGAATTATACACAGAGATCCCCGCCGGCTCCACCAGTCCTGGACCCCAAATGGACTCAGAACATGACCTTGGGACCTAATCCATTTAAAAAAATTAAGGCCCATGGATCTTAGAATGAGGGAGCACATTGAGAGATATCTACAGTAGCTCAAAAGTTGCGATAAATTTGACATAGCTGTATTGCCAACAGAAACTTCACAATCCATGAAGGACATAGACATTCAGTACTGTCAGACCAGTATCAGAACCCGGTGGAATTCGTATTCCTGAATTAATGTTTCGTGATTCATGTAAATTCCATTCTTCTAACATGATCGTAACATTATTGTCAGAATTATATGCCAAGCTGGTACCTGACATAATTTGTGATTGCCTCAGGAAAACCTTGGCGTTTTGGGTAATTTTCAGCTAGAAAATGCTTGGCGTCCGTGTAACAGACGTGGTGGACTGGTATTGAGTCGGTTTAGGATTACATCTTGGCTACAACATGTTTGGATTGTATCCTGTGATGTAAGTAAGCTATTTCTAGATATTATCATCTTACGTCAGGTAGTAGATATGTGTAGATATATAAGCTGAGAGAAAGAGGAAGAAAGACAGACAGACAGACAGACAGACAGACAGACAGACAGACAGACAGACAGACAGACAGACAGACAGACAGACAGACAGACAGACAGACAGACAGACAGACAGACAGACAGACAGACAGACAGACAGACAGACAGACAGACAGACAGACAGACAGACAGACAGACAGACAGACAGACAGACAGACAGACAGACAGACAGACAGACAGACAGACAGACAGACAGACAGACAGACAGACAGACAGACAGACAGACAGACAGACAGACAGACAGACAGACAGACAGACAGACAGACAGACAGACAGACAGACAGACAGACAGACAGACAGACAGACAGACAGACAGACAGACAGACAGACAGACAGACAGACAGACAGACAGACAGACAGACAGACAGACAGACAGACAGACAGACAGACAGACAGACAGACAGACAGACAGACAGAGAATTACATCTTTTTATTTACTTCAATTGAAAGCTCCTGTGCGAGCTATTCTTCCAGATACCTCTAGTCTCAATCATTACAGCTTCCGAACCAGCTCAAAAGGTTCGACAAGTACTTATCGAAAATTTCGAAAATTTCGTTTCCACTAAAAGTGGGTATTCGAGAAAAATTAGGAAAAAAGAGTTTTGTTATTGAGACCATCCACGGTAAAGTTATCATGACGTGTTTCTGGGCTGAAGCCTTGATCCTCTCTTTGATCCTCCCCTTGATTTCGTCATTTCTGACCTGAGCGCTGATCCTCCCCTTGATTTCGTCCTGCTTGACTTGACCATTGATCCTCCTCTTGAATTTGTCCTTCTAATTCTCTTTTTCACAGCTGGTGAGTCTAAATTCTCGTTTGTAATATGGCCCTCTATGGAAATGGCGAATAGTATCAGTAAACTAGATTTGAGTGGGGAATTTCTAGAGAATTGATGGATGAATAACATACCGTCAATTTGTGTTATAACGTTTTTAAACGCTGTAATAATTGGATCATAAAGTTCTACGGAGTTGGGCCTTGAGATGAACTGATCTAGATTACTTCCGAACAAAATCTTGCGTAGATCTCTTGCCAAATCCTTGACTGCGTCGAAACTTGGCGAAAAGTGATCTATGATATTTGTCTCGAATCTTACGGTAATATCTGATCTCTTCGTGTTATAGTTCGTTGATAGATCGTCTGTGTACCAGCCGTTCAAGTTCGCTGGCTCTGAACTTGGTCGACCATACCGCAGGCATCCCACAAGAAAAACGTAAAAGAAAGACTCGAGGTCGTAACGACACGATTTCTTTATGCTATACTTATTTTCGCTCATGTTCTTCAGTAACTCAATTGCCATATACTTGACGGTACCCGTAATTTTCATTTCCTCTTTCTCATCTACCTTGCCATCGACCGAAGTAGACATATCCAAGTCGATAAGAGTACCCTCTGATTTTCCATTTTCGTCGGGCTTGGTCAAAATGATGTTTCCCTCAGAAACATCGCCGTGAAGGACCTTTGCATCATTGTAAAGATCACGATGACCAATTATAGCATCAAGAATACAACTCAAAAACTCTCGGAGCGATCGACTAGATTTAAGAGGCTGTCCATTCGGCGAAAGTATTGCTAAGGTAAGCTTGCGTTTGCGGAAATAAACTGGAGTTGCGGATGTTTCATTCTGTAGGCCTAGGGAAAGGCACCATTTGTTGTTTTGCATCGAAAACTTACGTGCCATTGAGAAATCCAGCCCAGCTCGGTGAGTTTCCACTTCATGCAACACCGTATCCCACACTAAATTCACTACGCCATTCACCGGTTTTGCCAATTTCAGATAATCAACCTCGGATCGTTCTGCTCCCGAACCCCACGAGAACTTAATCATAAACATGTCATCCTTCGTCCGATGGCAGAGATTTGCCCGTGATACTATTGTCTCTGGTCTGTAAAGTGGCTCCGACATGATTTCGATCACATTATCAGCCGGCTCATCATCATCTCGAGTGGTGATGAATGATAGATCATCTTTACGAAAAATTGTCGTATCAAGCCCAAGCTCTTGGTCGCTCATGAACATGTATGATGAAATAGCTCGTACCAGTTTTTCTTGGCTTTCAATCAGACTGATTTCGCCCGAGCTGTATGCACCCGATCGGTCAACTACCCAGAACTCAGCGTGCAGTTTGTGAACAACAAATCCATGCACAAATCGACGCAATGGCTGTGCGTAGAATATTTCACGAATGTATCTCGTGAGCTGGTGGAACTTGACACCTTTCAGACCAGCGGCCTTGGTGAATTCACCTATCACTCTGATATCTCTCCAATGATGTTTACTTTCCTCGACTAGGTCTGCATCTTCAATAAAAAAGTCAAGCTTTCGTCGACTCTTTGCACCTTCAAGCTGGTTGAATTGTGTTGTATGATAGAATTTGCCGCGCGCGATAGGATCATTTGGCATGCGGATGAAAGTTGATTCCGATGTGTTTGCCTCGTGGGGGAGCGTAAACTGTTTCAAGTAACGGTCGAAGAAGGTGTAAAACCAGGCCCGGAGTTCGGCTTCATTCATGTTGTTGTGAAAAATATGGGGTTGACATTGGTTGTTATCGCGGTAACACTCCCAGATTCGCGTTGTAGTTTGAGACCACCTCTCATTCTCAAAATAAACCCCCCAGAAATTACCAACACTTTTGTAAACATTGTTTGTAAGTTCGATCTTGAGCGCTACAGTGATGGAAGGGCCTGTTGCGTCGTAATTGGGTATCTCTGAAGCGCTGCGCGTGTATGTAGTCGTTGTGTTTTCTTCAATGATTGGAATCATTATGTCCGGAATTGACTTTGGTTCCTCATAGTTAATATCATCAGCAAGATCAATGAATTGAGTCCAAAATTCACGGTCACTAGCATCAGATAAGATTAGTTCAACAAAGGGCTCGAGGTTGGAGAGAACGACTCTTTTAGCAGAGATTTTATTGCTTATTGTAAAGATTTGCTGATGAAGCGTGTAGATGTAGGCGTTACTGTCGAACTCTACGGTGTATGCTAGAAGTTGAACTAGAAATTTTTGAATTGCTACTAAGTCAGTCTTTTACTCCTTGCTACACATGAGGTATTCACCCTTCACTTGATCAACAGCATTGTCGTAATTTTGCCTGAATCGAGCACGCAGGCTTGTGAGAGGATGTTGATTAGTATATTCGTAGAGTTCCTCGAAAAGGCTCATTTTGCTGTAACTTGAAATAAGATTGTTACTGGAGAGATTTGATGATGTGAAGATGATTGAAAAGGGGTGAAGCCGACGACCTCGAATAGTGGACAATGGTAGAGTTGGCGTTGAAAACCCTGAAAATCATGTTGGCGCAGTGGTCGTGACAAGTCAAGCGCTGTACGGCAAAGTCTGAACATCTGTACGAGGTGTCCCCTACGAACCTGGGAGGGAATTATTTCAGAGCCACCCTTAGTCAAACTTCGCAACATCAAAGAAGTTGGCCCATAAGGCAATGATTCTATTTTCTCCTCCACGTCGTCTTTTCGCTCCCAATGAGTTAGACTCCCACCTAAGCCTCATCAAGTCTACAAGTACGACCTAGTACATCCTTATCCTAATGACCATACCTCTCGTCGACTGTCTCAGGCCTCAGTCGACCACTAAATACATGCCCACGTCGATATTTACAACCGACGGAGGAAGCAAAGCGTGGCGCACAAGTATGGGAGATAGATCTTAGGGGCGAACGTGAGAGGGATAAGGATAGTTTCAATAAATGGTGCAGAGGATGGATACATCCTCGACGGGTGTTAAATTTCGAAATTATTAAGTAGTCTTTACGAATTGAGCTTTTTGCCTGTCAAGACTTCGCTTGCGAGAGTGCAGCTGACACTATAAAAACAAGCAGACGATGGGAGGTGTTGTGATCCGCCACCTGGTGGTGTTCTCTGGTATAGTTTGAGTAGCCTGGGTACCTACTCCACTCGGGAAGGGGACGCCTTAGACCATGTTTCGCGCGGAGAAAAGTAGAAAGACGATGGAGGCATGTCTGGATAACGCAGGGTTCATAGACGTTCCCCTGAGTGGGTATTCACGGATGAGTTTTGACTTGGGGTGATGAAAAAGCTACCATAACTTCGCAGTGGTACTGTAATGGTTTAAGGAAATCAGAAGTACTTGAAGTCGTTAACACAATGGAAATGAATAATTTTTTCCTTGGGAAAGCTAAACTACCTTATCGTATCCTGTCCTTTATGTCTTTCGCGTACGCTAGTATTACTTCCCCACTTTAGCCATATGAGAATTAATCCTTTCTTCCGGCTCTCTTCCTTGGCCCCTGAGAATCATCCTTTCTCCCTGGCTCTCTTCCTTGTATCGTACTCCCCCATCTGGCACGTACCCACTTTAATACCCCCTTAAAGTCCCCTTTCGTCTATCCAGGAGCGTTGCTTTGCCAATTCCCTACCTTGGAGACGGAGTGGTCCTAGTGACCAGTCCCAATCCGGGCACAGCCCGTCACAGGTACTCGCAAATGAAGTCCGAGGCATGAGTGCACTTCTTGTAAATTGAGTCATCTATTATACACTTCTCTGATCCTCTTCGAACGCTTCGGAAGGGTCACTATGTCTTCGGATTTAGTCCTCATGTCCGTACTAGGAGAGCCTCGAACCCAGTGGCTTTTGCGATTTTTCCCTGCTGCCATACACCTGCAAACGCACATCGTTTCGTTGGCTGGAGAGGGGAGATAATGAAGGGCAAAGGGCTCCTCTAAGTGTATGATAAAATGAGAACTAGTAAGGGGTGGTACTGTTTGAGGGGAGCTGTATGGGTGGAATAGGATGGGATATACTACTGGCATAGGTGTGTTTTTATTGTACTACTTGAGTCTATGACTATCTAGCACATTGAGCTCCTTTCTGGCCCAGGCCACACCCTGGACAGTGCTTCCTGCCTCTTTTGTTACTTGAAAGGTCATTGTCGGTAAAAGAATCATATTTGAGTAGTGTGAATTGTTCTATGTATTTGCAATATTCAGGTTGTCGTTAGGACACTGGCAGGGATCTGATTTAGCTCATTAGCGAGGTGCTTGGAGTATAGGAAGGAAGGGGAGATGGAGAAGGAAAAGGAGAGACAACGCTTTATGTATTTCGAGATACCAGTTAATTGAGATTATTCACCGACTTCGTGACGGACAGCTGACTTTGTGACGGCACCCAATTTGTATTACTTCGTGTTTTACCAACAGTCATAAATAAATTGCCTGTGATAAATAGCCATTCAGCTCAGTATTTACCCGTGGAATTCAGCCACCTTTTCCACGGAACCTTCTACCCAAAAAAAATAAAAATGGTAGCAATGGAAACTGCGTGCGCGGGAAAAGTCTCCAAAAACCTGCAGCCCCAGCCAGGCGAGGCCTAGACACCGGGACCACATGAGGTGCATATATTCATCTTCATCTCCCTTCTTTGTAACAGTCGATGTCGACTTGATTCGATCCACCATCTCCGTATCGGGCGCTGGATACGCCTCGGAAACTCACCGGATGGCTTTTCCTCCATGATCAAAGGTTGGTGATGAGTAGGGCTCCGACCCTAACATCTGATCTGATCGTGGTTAGCTTCATGATAATGGTGATAGGGGGATGTGTTGAGAGATGAAGACGATACAGACCGCGAAAGCGATTGGGAATCCACATCGAAGTAAGGACTTGGTTACTCAATCTCGGCTCTGCAGACTCTATAGAGAGAGCTGGAGGTTCGCAGGGGACATCATTGACAGGTGTTGAGAATAGTCCCCCTACTGGCATAGGTATTCTTGGCCTGTAGGCAGAGAGGATCTGCATGTCCTACATTGTCATAGACTTACACAGGACAATAAAACGAATTAATAAAAATACACTTCTCTTATATTTTTTTATGTTCAAGACCTAAGATAAAGCTCTAGGTCCACTATAGGTACAAGACTTGTGGAGCCGGCGGGGATCACTGCTAACAGGCCCAACTCATTCCAACCGCGAGACACGCTACAGAAAAAGTAGGAGGTAAATTATAACTCAGAAGACTCCACCTACTCCGACTCCGAAATCGAGACTGCATCCTTCAACCCTAAATTCAAGTACATAAAAGATTTCCTTAGAGAAACGACACTTCTCGCATCGATCCCTTTCGTGTCATGCGTTGTGGCAATGACTAGTTAATCTAATCCCCGCTGAGAGCAGTGGATGAGTGGGCAGGATGGCTATCAAAACAGCCGGTTTCCTACGTAAATATTTTGAAGCTATTGTGGCACTTGGGCCCGAGAAGCTTCTTGATAAAGTCAGTGTGGGACATTGACTTTCTAAGCCTACGCGTTTTTTGTGCGTGACGGCTACAGTGGATAAAGTGGGTTGGAGTAGTTTCCTTCCCGCAAGAACACTCCATAGGAGCGAGTGGATTATTAAAACAGCGATGGTATGCCGCAAAATTGCCGTGACCCGTTCGTGCTGCAATTAGTGCCCGGAGGAGGTGCCTAGAGAGAGACAGTTCAGGTGGTTTGCGTCTCCGCACCTGTAGTTTGAGTTGGCGGTATTTAGGCGGACAGGCCTCTTCCCACCAACTGTCCAGCAATCTCTGCCGTCTGCGATTCATGAGCCCTCGAAGATTTGCCAGAGTACTGGATCCTGGTTGCGTATCCGGGCTAGGCAATTCTCGAAGTGCTGCACGGGCCATGGCGTCTGCCTCTTCATTTCCTTGGATTCCTGCATGCCCTGGAACCCACTTCACTGAAATTTCAGTCTTATTAGATAACGCACGGAATTTGCGTACATCTTCAAGACTGGTTGAGGACGAGCCTGTCGTTAGTGCGCTTATAGCCCGCTGTCTTTCTAGAAACACGTGTATTTGCTGCGACCCTCCTACTTTCCTGTACTTTTCGTTCTCCAAGAACTCCAGTGCGGCCTCCAGAGCCTTCCTTGCTCCTACTATCTCTGCATCCAGCACCTCTCCCTCGTGCTTGATGCCACTTCCTTTGCTGATAAGTTTCCCATCCATTTTCAGAACGAAACCCCAGGCGGAGCGTCCATGTCCTTCCGATGACCCATCCGAGTATGCACAAATGTCCGTTCCTGGTACGTCGCTAATCCTTCTAACGCAACCTTCGCGTTCCATCGACTTTGAGCCCGATTTCCTAGAGTAAACCACCGGCTTCAGACTTTCAGGAGCTTCTACTTCCGGAAGCTCTCAGTAAGCACGCTGTTATCGTGACATCTGAATTTCTGGTCTGGCTAAGGACTTGGCAGACTTTTTATATTTCCGGGTGCCGAAATTCGGGCACACGGAAGCGCGGATTCTCAAAGGGTGTCGATCGTCAAGGGTCTTAAGCCTTGCCGAAAGCCGGAGATGGTTTCCCTCTAGTATGACCTTTGCCGGCGGGATTCCCCCTTCTCTATAAAGGACTACATTTGGTGTTGTCCTCATTACTGGAAGTGCAGCCCGCAATCCCATCAGGTTAGCTCGGTCAATCATGCTGCAGAGGTTGGAGGTAGATGACGTGACTATTCCTCGTATGGTTGAGCGTTTGGACCCTGGCCACCAGACATCAGATCCAAAAGTTGCGAGCGAGACAACGCACATGTCCACTGCCTTAGCCAATGGCCTAGGAGCTGCTCCCCAAAAGGCAGAGTTGAAACGGCGCATGTGCTTGGCAACTTTGACCGCTTTACCGCACCACGTAGTTGCATGGTGTTTGAAATTGAGTCGTGGATCTAGATTCACGCCTAGCCAGCGAATGTTTTACGCAGGCTCAATAAGGGTTCCGTTAACATGAACACCAATTGCTTCCTCTCGGCGTCGTCCCGGAAATTGAATAACTTCCAATTTTTCCGTGTCAAAGTCGACGCCATTGTTCCGCGCCCATTCGAGGAGATGATCTGTCTCACCTTGTACAGCAGTGGCGGATTCAGCAATTGTGCGTCCAAACCCTAGAATTCCAATGTCGTCCGCGTAGCTAAACCTCGATCCTGGATTGCCGCTTTTCATCGGCTCCACCATGTACAGAAGGAATAGTAATGGCGATATTGAGGAGCCCTGCGGGACTCCACAGACCAGCTCTCTCTGGGTGGTGACTCCGCCGTAGAAATACACTTGAACTTTCCGGTGTGTGAGGAATGAAGTCGTCCACCGGAGGATTGAGTCTGGCCATCCCTGGGCTTGCATGCGCCTAACCAAGCGATTGTGGAGCACTGCATCGAATGCTCC